AAGTTAGCAGTCAATCCTTCTACTAGCAACACACCATCAAGATATGGTAAATCTGGACTCACCAACTTGCGTATCCCCTTGATTCTTCCTCTAGTTCCATCACCAAATGTGACATACCTATTAGAATAAGGCTTTAAATCTTAAATATATATCATTTCACCATTCATATGTTGTAAACATCCATTATCAAAATACCAATCCTTTATAGAAGAAATTCTAAGAGGAACATGAGTTAAGAGACATTTGACAGTTTTCTTGGGTTTCCACACTTTCTTAGTTAAATTTTTCTTCCCTTTCTTTCCTTTTGACTTTGGATGAATATAATACTAAGAATATCCATAAAGTTTGCAGAAAAATGGTCTTATATGATCACATCTACCACAATGGTGACATCTCTTTGCAGAGTTCTTATAACCCCTGTGCTAAGAGTACACGTGTCGAGCACAATGCTGAGATATGTGGTCCAACATCTGAAACTCATCCTTCTTCTTAGTGGAGGAATTCTACCTTTTTGTCCATGCAAATATAGTAAAACCCTATAGTATTCTTCTCTCCAATTTCCAATATATCATCTAACATATCAGAACTAATGCTCAACATACAAACACGTTTTATCAAGTTGACAAGTTTGGATTTTAACAATGTGACTTCTTTTTCCAGTCCTGCAATGGTTGAACCAAGCTCCTCTTTTTTTATGAGTAGAGCACTTATGGTCTTCTTTTATTTCTTTTATCTCAAGCAAGATTCCTTCCATTCACTAAACAACTTTCTATAAGTTTCAGCAAAATCTTTTGCTGAACTCTCTTTATCACTATACTCATTGCATGAGTCATATTTTCCAGTAAAAGCCGCCACTTTATTAATTGTTTCATCATTAAACTTAGACCAAGTGATTGACAATTCATTTTTCTATTTCTTTAGAAAAATGGGACATTCAACTATAGTGTGGACAAACCCTTCACATTCATAATATTGAGCTCCTTTTCCTTTGTTACCTTTAAAATCATCTTTGCTTTTGTTCACTAGATTGATTCCTGACCTCTTATATGGGACATTTGTCCTCCATTTTCTCTCCATCCTTTTAAATTTTCTTCCAACAATGGCTATAACCTTTGAGAAGCTTTCTCCACCTTGATTTTCATCCTCTTCAGTGTTGGACACAAAGGTTATGCATTTGTTATTCTTTGCAGATATATCATTAAAGGCCATTTCAAAGGTTTGTCATAAACCAATGAGTTCATAAACCTTTATACTACTTAGGTCCCAAGCTTCTTCAATAATAATTACTTTCATATCAAACATCTTAAGCAATGATCTGAGAATTTTTCTGGCAAGCTTTTCTTCAGACATCTTGTCACATAAGGCTAAAGAGGTGTTGGAAATATCACACAATCTGATGTGTAACTAACAAATAGATTCTTCTTCATTCATCTTCAGGTTCTCAAACTCGGTGTAAGGAACTACAATTTTGAGATACAGACTTTGGATGTGCCTTCATGAGCACTTTTGAGAATCTCTCAAGCTTATTTAACTTATAAACATGTGTTTATCAACTTGAACATGTTCTTGTTCACACTATTATAAATAACATTTAAAGCCTTAGAGTTTCCAAGAGCTTCCTCATCTTCAATATCAATCCAATATGCTTCTGATTTTAGACTGGTTGTGCCATCTTCAACAGTGATTTTTAGATATTTCCATCCTTTAACATTGATTTCCATGTTTTGATTCTTAAGTATTTGAGAAAAAATAACCACCATCACCTTCCAATAATCATAATTTGTGCCATACAAAACATGTGGTTTGTTGACCGATCCTTCATCTTTTATTGTCTCCATTTGAGCATAGAGCTCATCCAACAGGCTAGGGTGTCTGCTATGATGCCAATTGAAATTATGTTCCTTAGGGGATAAATGTCGAACACAATGCTCCAACAACAGGTTCGACTAGATACAACATAACCACTACAATATCAATTTATATATGATGGAGCAGAAAAGCAATAATTAACACAATCAATTGTTTACCCAGTTCGGTGAAAAAACACCTATGTCTAAGAGCTGAGTCCACAATCTAATAAAGGAAAATCACTTATTAAGATGGAAAAATGTTAATATGAGAACTATCCGCTGAATTTCTATTTAGTGTCTCCCCCTAAATATGAGAACCTACTCACTTTTTTCTCTGTCACTCAAGGGGCGAACAACCACTAAACCCTAGTGATTAAATACCATTTTAATAAGATCGAAGAATGTTAAATATTACAACTTAAATAGAAAAACCTTATATGCCAAGTTATTGAAACATATATGTGTACATAACAATGTTAAATTTACAAATCAACTAGACAAACCTTATATGCTAAGTTACTGAAACATATAGGTGTACATAAAAATAACAAAGACTCTTGTAAATCATAGCACTCTGAAATCTTCAATGTGAATGTTTACTTTCCAATGTAGGTTTGAGCTCCTTATATAACAAAGTAACTCTGAGATTTTTCCTTATGGATATGTAGTTATTTTCGTCCAGAATCTTTGCACAATTTGTTGGATATTTGATTTGCTCCTTGCATTTATCCAACAAAAAAATATGATTTGATTTGTTATAAGTTTAAATTTAAGTCTCTTTTAAATCTGATTTGATCTTCATATCTGTCCAACAAATTATATAATCAAATTACTAAACAAATAGTAATAAAAAAATTGAATATTCTTAAAAGATTATGTTAAAGCGCAACAATCTGACTCCTATTGCACAAGGCTCAGATGTCGTACCAACACGCTAGAGTATCGCGCCTAACATGTGTCCCTTTAAAGTTCTATACAACATTAGCAAGGTAGACAAATCTTTAGCACTTAGACATTTTTCCAAGGTGTTATTTTGCTAAATACAGTCAATCCAAATGACCAATCCACTAAAAACAACAATAATTCTCAACATTATTGTGGATTGGTGATTGTATAAACTATTGCAAATATGTGTCAAACAAAAAGGAACAATGAAGCTTCAAATGGAAAACCATTGAATAATGCACGTAAGCAAAACAATGACAAATATCGAAACACTATAAATTTCGGTGTCATCTATCTCTCTATTCTTGCATTTAATTTTCGTAGGATTTGCATGTATAAATATTTCAATTCTAGCGTAGTTGGTTTATTACGTAAGCCTAAGTTTTGTTAGAATTGATGCATAATCTAGCTGTATTAGTGATTAAAATCTAAGAAGCAATTGAGGATAAAACTAGAGGTGGCAATTAAATCCATTAAGACAAAATCCATCCAATCCATCCATCAAAAAAATCCATCCAATCCATCCACCACAAAAAAAAAAAAGTTAATGGATTGGATTAAATCCATCCATTTATATGCATGGATGGATTCAATCCATCCATTTATATGCATGGATTGATTCAATCCATCCAACATATTTTAAGGATCCAATGGATTATTTTTATTTTTGTTAGATTTATTTTTTTAAAATTAGATTTTTTTAAAAATAATTAAAAAATTATATTTTTTTTCTGAAAAAAAAATTTAATTTTTTTTGAAAAAAAATATGTTTTTTTTTCAGAACAAAAAACTGATTTGTTTTTCGAAAAAAAAACCGACTTTTTTTTTTGGAAAAAAATCAGTTTTTTTTTTTCAGAATAAAAAACTGATTTGTTTTTCGAAAAAAAAATTTTCTCGAAAAAAAAGCCGACTTTTTTTTTGGAAAAAATCGATTTTTTTTCAGAATAAAAAACTGATTTATTTTTCGAAAAAAAAACCGACTTTTTTTTTTGGAAAAAAATCAATTTTTTTTCTGAAAAAAATCGGTTTTTTTTTCAGAATAAAAAACTGATTTGTTTTTCGAAAAAAAAACCGACTTTTTTTTTCCTGAAAAATCGTTTTTTTTTTAAGAATAAAAAACTGATTTGTTTTTCGAAAAAAAAATAAAATTTTTTCTCGAAAAAAAACCAACTTTTTTTTTGGAAAAAAATCGATTTTTTTTCAGAATAAAAAACTAATTTGTTTTTGAAAAAAAAAATATTTATTTTTACGAAATTAAAAAAAAAGTTGGATGGATGGATATCCATCCATTAAAAATATGTTAATGGATGGATTGGATGAATTTTATTCTTAATGGATGGATCGGATTGGATAATTTTAATAAAATTTTAGTGGATTTTAATTGACTAATGGATTGTTTTAATCCATCCATTAGCAATTCAATCCATATTCATCCAATCCATCCATTTTGCCACCCCTAGATATAACTCATCATCATTGAATCGTTATATAAACACACTTTATGGAATATACAACTGAATCTATCATATACCTTTGTGTATCATTATGAAAATCATTTGTGATATTTGTAGATATATTTGATGTTAACGTGATCAAGTTTTGAAAACTATAATTTTCATATTTTCGCTTCAAACCTTCCACACACACTTTTGAAAAATCTATAATATTCCATTTTTAAAGAAGTGATTGAATTTTTCAATAAGGGTCTATTCATCTCCCTCTAAACTGTTTTTTCTTCTTCCATATTCTCACCCAACAAATATATGACATAGAGTAATATTAATTATAAAATTTATATACTTAAGTCATTTTCCACACATTAATTTGCAATATGATAAATGACATACATTTTGAAGGAAGAAATTTTTATTTTTTATAATTAAGGACAAGAATGAATTTTTTTAGTTAAAATTGTTTAATTTGGTTAAATTTTGTTGTCAAAGTTTTGTAGACCATGATTGGAATTCTCTAAATCTAGTGAATTATTTTACCCACAAATTCTTTAGAACCCAACCCAAGCCGCCTAAATAAACAAAGACAACATACTAACCAATGTATGTCGACAATGACAAACCTTAACATTTTCTCTTTCCTTTCAAACGTAGGTTTCTGCTAAAAACCTCAACCTTAACAATTTCAATCTTTGATTTAGTTGTTGAAAATCTTGTCTTTCATTGACTCGTTTCCTTGACTCTTCCATTGTTAATGGAGAGAGAGGGAAACGATTGTGATTTGGGAGGAGACGCATCTCTTCCTTGTTGTTCCATTTTGAGCTCCACCTTTTTGTTGGATCATGTTGGAGAGGTTATTGCTAGCATGTTCTCAGATGGGTTGTCTTGGAAATTGGTGGAGCCGGTGGAAAATGTAAGCTTTTTTTTTTGTTGCTTATAAGGTGTTTGTTAAAATGTCTGACTTAGATTGTGTCTTGTTTTGGTGTTTGGTAGTTTGGTTTGGTTTGGTTTGCTACCCTTTGTTTAAGTTTTCTCGTATGCATTGATGAACAGATGAACATGTTCTTCAATCTTATCCCTGTTTGGATGGACAACATAATTTAACTCTTATAATTTTATAAATGCTTTTATGTCTAATTGTTTAAGCTTTCCTGTATGCATTGATAGACTTGTTCTTCAATCTAGCCTTGTTTGGATGGGCAACATAATTAAGCTCTTATAAGTGCTTATGTATAAACTATTTGTATGACAAAAGAAAAAAATAAAGTCAAAGCGTTTTCATATATGTTTCAAGCTATTTTTGTAAATTATCATGGATAGATTATGGAAATAAGATGAAAATAGCTTATGGAGAGCTGTTTTCTGAAGTTTTTCCGATCTAGCAGATAAACTCAAATAAATCAATTCAAACAGGCCTCTAATTCTTTGATCGGGTAAAGATTGCATATTCAAGTGAAGTTTGTATGTTCAAGGGCCTATGGTGGTTCACATCTGTGTTGTTGAATGTTGTACTTCAATCCTTGAATGGAATTAAAGGACATTCTGCCATTGGTGGTTCTAGTTCTCATCATGATTGAGAATGATTTTGCTTTGAGCAGCTTTTGTGTTTGTTTGTTTAAACTTATTACGCGCGAGGGTAAAGGATTTAGTTTCAAACCTTGCTTGTTTTTGCTGTTTAAAGCAAAGTTTATTGTATGTGTTAGATGATCATTGTTGCGTGTGGAATGAGGATTAAGGAAATGGTGCTTGAATTGAATATTGTTTTTCCCTATGAATATGCCTCTGACCCCAAATTTCTCATGAATTAATTATTACTAACTTTTCCTTACATATTGCCTCTTCCAAAATTCTAAGCAGTTAATTTCATTAAATTTTCTTCTTAATTTCCTAAATGTTTAATGTAGCAGGATGTTTCAACTTGTTTAGGCATTAGATATGTTTCCAAGATTGCTAACGAGATCGCACTTTCGGACATATATGCTGTTGAGTTACTGGACAGTAGTTTGATTCACAAATCAAATCTCCCTCGTACACTTTTCGATCATGACATAAAGGTTTGCTCTTGTTCTCGGTTGTGCAATCTGTTCTTTATACGTTTATCGTGTTTCAATAAGGAGCAAGAATCAACAGCTTTTGTTTCTGAAAATCACGCAGATGTACCACTTTACCGTGCATGGTTTTATAAGGAGCAAGAGTCAACCTTCGCAGTGGATCCTGACTGAATATACTTTTGGTCATGAAGATTTGCAAACATGTCAAATGTGGGTAAATCAACTAAATGAATTGTTGAAACTTGAAGTTGGAAGACCAAGGAATCTTCTGGTATGCTCTGTTATCGGACAAACACCTGCTTTATAATTTTGCTTTTAATTTTTATTGATTAATTAAAATGAACTTTTCCCAGATATTATTTCTGATTCACTAGGTTTTTGTTCATCCAAGGAGTGGGAAGAGTAATGGATGTAGAAACTGGGAAGCTGTGGCTCCGATATTCTCACGTGCTAAAGTAGAAACAAAGGTGAAACTTTAATGAAGTAGAAATACTGTTTGGCTTAACTTTTAAGGAGAAAAAAAGTAAAAAATAAGTCAAGGCAAACACACCCTGACTCTTCAGATTCAGTACATGATATTAAGTGGTAAGTGATGATCAAATAAGATTGTTGACGGGATCCAAGTAATCGATTTTTTCTTTTCTTCACCAGGTGATTGTGACTGAGAGAGCGGGACAAGCATATGATATGATGTCATCTATAACAAACGAGGAGCTTAACTCATATGACGGTGTTATAGCTGTTGTAAGAACTTAACTCCAGTCTTTTACATCGTGCTAAATCATATATTTTTCAAAATGTTGTTGATATGTTTATGACGAGGCTTCATGTTATTGAAGTTTTGAATCATGGTTTTTTATTTAGACGGAGTTATTTAACCACTTTTGAATTTCCTTGTTACTTTCAAGTTTCAAGTGATTATCTTATGTTCTTTTGAGTTATTGTATTTTTCTAATTGAGGTGGTTCCAGGGTGGTGATGGATTTTTCAATGAAATCCTTAATGGGTTTCTTTCTCCCAGGCTTAAAGCTCCCTACCCACCAACTCCTCCAGGTTTTGTTCATTTGGCTAAAGATAAAGGCGATTCCTTGGTTGCGGATGAAGATGAAATACTTGAAAAGACATCAAGTCAAATTGAAGACCACCTTCCTCTGATTTCAAGTCCAAACCAACCTCGGTCTATAATATCTAATTCTAGTGAGTTCAGTTTAGCTGTACTTCGTTAAGTTAGAAAATAATTTGCATCAGCATGTTAATTTATAGGAAAGAATCGGAAAGAACAAATTCAATTACAAGTTTATTTCATAGAAATACAAAACCACAAAGAAAGAAAAAGGAAATATATAACTATGAAACACAGACACCGGAAACACGACACAGACACTGACACATCGGCACTGGTAATAATTTAAAAAAATGAATAAATTAAATGTAATTAAGTGTCAGTGTCGGTTTCGGACACCGACACACCTTTTTATCAGAGGTGTCTGTGCTACAGAGATATATAATATCAATTTTATGCTTGACTTGTTTTTGTGGCTTTTGAAGATTCGGAAGATAAAGCTCATGGGTTTCCTGTTCCTAATGAATGGTTTAGATTTGGGATCATTCCCTCAGGTTCAACCGATGCCATTGTGATCTGGTAATTTTTTCTTCCTAGTAGTATTTTTGAATTTTCAGTTCTTCTGCCCCAACGAAAGACACGATTGCAGTCTATCCTTGTAGTTTTCTAATACTATTCTTCTGGGTTATGTGAAATTCTGAATATTTTGTAGTACAACGGGAACTCGAGATCCTATAACTTCCGCATTGCATATTGTCCTTGGTAAAAGGGTGCACCTTGATATAGCTCAAGTTGTGCGATGGAAAACAACTCCGAGATCCGAGGTTGAACCTTTTGTGCGCTATGCAGCTTCATTTTCAGGGTAGGTTCCTTCTGTTTTGTTACTCGATGAAAAGAAAATGGAAATTCTTTAATTATGTAAATGTCTATCTTTTGACACATACTAGCGATGTGATCTTGCATAGTAATCTTATATTCTACATACAGGTATGGATTTTATGGTGATGTTATCACAGAGAGTGAGAAGTATCGCTGGATGGGTCCCAAACGTTACGATTACGCTGGAACAATGGTATTTTTAAAGCACAGGTATTGTCCAAGTGGATATGACATGGTGCTTTGATGATCTCAAGTTTAAATATCATATTTTGAACTGCGTTTTTTTTTCAGGTCATATGAGGCAGAAATATCATACCTAGATGTTGAATCGGAGGAAACCATTCCGACTCCCAAAAGAAATCGTGAAAGTAGCCTGTTATGGGGATTGAAAGCTCCACGCAGATCAGAAAGATATATCTGCCGTATTAATTGCAAAGTTTGCAATGAATCGCCAAAGAATGCAGCCACTGAAATTCGTAGCCTAACGCCTCATTTAAATTCAGAAACGAAAAGATGGGTGGAATGCAAAGGACGGTTTATTAGTGTTGGAGCTGCAGTAATCTCTTGCAGAAATGAAAAAGCACCTGATGGTTTGGTTGCTGAAGCGCACCTTTCAGATGGTTTCCTTCATCTCATAATGATTAAAGAATGTCCTCACGCTTCTTACTTATGGTATGCTTTGTCTGGCTATCTTTCCATCTTAGGCCATGTTTGGATAAACAACTTAAGCATTTGTAGCATAAGTGCATGCGTATAAGCGGTTATAGCATAGATTTGTTAACTTTTAGTCTTTTGGCTGAGTTTGTGAAAAATTCGAAATGAAACAGGCACCTGACTCAACTTACAAGAAGAGGGGGAAGCCCTTTGAATTTCAAGTTTGTTGAACACCACAAGGTTAGTTCTCCCTCCCCCTAATCCGCGCCACCTTATTCCGTTGCGAATTTACCAATTTTACTTAGCACTTGCAGACCCCTGCATTTACTTTCACTTCTTCTGGCAATGAGAGTGTATGGAATGTGGACGGCGAGATGTTTCAGGCACACCAACTCTCTGCTCAAGTGTTTCGCGGTCTCGTATGCATGTTCGCAACTGGTCCCGAAGTTTAAGAGTTTTGTCGACGACATTAAACGGAACAATGATAAAACTTATTTAGTACCAACTACCTAGAACTTTTGTGTATATATATAAGCATGGAGAGAAGATTTTGCTACATTTAAGTATATATATGTAACCCTTGGTTCACATTTTTTTTTGTTTTTATAAGGTGAAATCACCTCAATATGGATGTTGTAGCTATTTTATATATGTATTTTATATATGTAGCAGTGTCATAATCTATGTCATGGATGTTGTATTATACTTTTTGAATATTGTTCTGAGAAACTAGGATCAAAACTGCAATTAAACCTGAAACTATGACATAATTACATAAACAAGTGTTTAAACAAATAATTGTACATATGGATTTCAGTTGAGTGTGCCTTGAGTTCCAAGTAACAGAAGTTGATGGAAACTATGACATAAACAAGTGTTTAAGCAAATAATTGTACATATGTATTTCAGTTGAGTGTGCCTTGAGTTCCAAGTAACAGAAGTTGATGGAAACTATGATGACATAAACAAGTGTTTAAACAAATAATTGTACATATGTATTTCAATTGAGTGTGCCTTGAGTTCCAAGTAACAGAAGTTGATGGGAACTTAAATGATATGATAAGGACCAGCTTTGATCTCTTAAGTACATACACAATTTTACAATAGAATCAGATTTATTTACACTTGAAACTCTTAAGTTAGTCTAGCTACATTAAAGGAATCATTTAACTAAATATTAGCATTGAGGAAGATAATGAATTATGCAAGTATCATATTTTATCAGGTCTTCCACTCCAAAATTGCTGATAGAAGTGTGTAATTAGGAATTAGAAACTTATGAGGTAAAGCCATATTTGTCATCGGTGATTTGTCGTGATCTAACAGCCACTTTTTAATTGCTTTGCGATCGTATGTATATCCGTCTGCAGCAACACAAGGATCATCCATCACATCCTGCATCAAATCAAATCAAATACAATGAGCATCTTTAAAAGCATTAGCAGCTATCATTAGAGTCTAGTGCAAGTGGTTGGTGCGCATTGTATGTGAGTGTTGTAAACCTTGGAAGTTGGAATATCGAGTTCGATTTTGTACATTGTGGAATATTTGACTACCTGAAGTATAGGACATATAAAATGGTTGGGAGGTTTGGATTTTATAGGAACTATTGAAGCAGAATGTTGAGCCTTATCAGCAACTTCTTTCAACCTCTCTAGCATTGGTAGCACATGATCATTCAAGTCAGATCGATCCTTTCGCCGCATCTCTGCACAGCTCAATGCTAACCGAGCTATTTCCAGTGTCTCTTGTATAGGCCATGATCCTGCTTTTGGATCCAATATATCTGCTAAACTTTCATCATCAATAGCTGTTTCAACTATGTGAGTAAGTGCTATGGCCGGTTTTGCTGTCAATAACTGTAACATCACTAATCCGAAAGCATAAACATCGGATTTCGTAGATATTAAACCGCTTCTTTGATATTCAGGATCAATGTAACTGAGTGTTCCAACAGGCGCTGTGTCCTTATACATGGCAGATATGTTATCTGAATCAAGGATTGTAGAAAGACCAACATCGCCAATCTTGCTGACAAGGTTACCACCAAGCAAGATGTTTGAAGGTTTCAAGTCACGATGGATGATAGGTTTTGGCTTTGTGCTGTGAAGAAAGGAAAGAGCCGACGCGATTTCCCAAGCTATTCGAAACCTAACAAACCATGGGATTTGAATATTACCGTTTTTCTGGAGTAGTCTATCCTCCAAGTTGCCATTTTCCATATATTCATACACAAGACATCCGTGATCGGGACATGCACCGAGAAGAAGGAGCAAGTTTGGATGACGAATTCGGCTTAATATCTCTAACTGGAAGCAAAGAGAAGACATTAGTCTTGTTTTGCAGTTCAATTCAAGTCGAATACATTCTATACTTTTCGTAAAGTCTTACAATTCGTAACAATGTTTACCTCTTGTTCGAATTGCTTGCTTTTGCGGATTCCATTTGAGTGGATAACTTTAACAGCAACAGTTGTGTGATGCAAAGTGCATTTGTACACCATTCCATATGCGCCCATTCCGATTCTCAGATTTTCGGAGAAAGATGAAGTAGCTGTAACTATTTCATCCCACGTAAACACTCGGTACTGAGGCGTGGAGCCACTCAAAGCATCCTCGAGCTTTTCTTTCTCTTTGGCAGCATGGATAGCTTTCAACTCCGTTTCTTTTCTTTCTGCAGCTTCTCTTTCAGCACATTGTTTCAAATATTCAGCCTCTCTAGCGGCAGCTTCGTATTTCTCTCTTTCTTGATATGCTAATTCCTTGGCCATCTCTTCCATGGCAATTATCTCCTTCATTTTCATGGATTCTTCTAGTCTTCTCTTGTTTAGTTCATTCAACTGCTTAAAGCAATACGAGACGTTACTCGTTTTGACAATGCCAATCAGAACTATGGAGAAAGAGAAGCTAAAAGTGTTTCGACAACGAGAAAAAAGACATTACCTTTTGTGATGCATCAGTGTTCTCAGTTTGAGCTACTGCATGCATTCCTTGTGCATGTCTTAGTTCAATTCTCAACTTTTGCAGCTCAAGGTTAAGGTTTTCCTGATTAAAACAATGATAAAGGAACTAAAATCAAACCTTTCGGTATTTGCAAGGATCATCTGCATATTTTTTAAGCCAAAATTCAATTACCTGTCTATTTGGTGATGGAGGCTTAGTAACTTGAGGCACAAACTTGGCCAAATTTTGATCATAAAAGCGAGATTCGGTATCTGAAATGCTTCCGGAGCTAGACGCCTGACTTATATCATGATCAACATCTGAGTTTTTAGAAGAACTTGTAGCAGCATTCTTTCTCCCAAGATCTAGAGACTGGCCTCTAGAATGATTAGTTAGATCTAAACTCGAGAGAGTTTGTTCTATACCCGAGAGAGCTTTAACTCGCCGTGTTGCAAGGGGAGAGGAGTGTAAGGCAGCATATGATGCAACTGAGCCAGACTCTGATATACATTCAAACATCGGTTATTGATTATGTGATACTCGCATTTTCTTCTGCACCATACTGTAAATCTTGAATTTTAAGCCATAGTATTTCAAAACATCAGACTTTTTTACCTGTCTGAGTGGTGGAAGTGTAGTTTGACGAGCTGGATGAGGAAAAACTGATTTCACTCGTGTTGTCGCTAATATTTCGATCAATCTGCGTGTCTGACTGCCGTATGGACAATTTTCCCTTTGAAACGGCATAAACCGTACAAAATGTTGGAGTACATACTGAGATTCTTGCAGACATACCCTTATGTTTACTGAAAGTGAAAGTCATTATTCAAAGCTGTTTTAGAATTTGGATTAAGATAATTCAAATCCTACGAAACCGGCTTGTAAGGTAAGAATGACATTATACGACGATGGCATTATACATCGGAATTTCAATTACTACCTTCTGAAAATACCGGAAGACGAAGCTCCAACGACAAGTTTGGTTATAGCGTCCTTAGTTACTTCCTCTGCTATCGCATTTACTACATCATCGGATTCAATCACTACAACATCTACATGCACCTGCCCAAACAATAGTTTAAGAATGTAAATCATATATTGCATTAATCTATCCTAATTAGTGTATGTTCGGTTTCACGTTTGGAGCACTTAGAATTGATTCTGAATGTGTATAATTGATTATGACATGTCTGGTGGCTAATTGATTATACTTTTCAGAATTGATTCTACTTGAAACTAGGATTTATAACTTTTGAGTCTAAACGTATTCAACTAACTTTTGCATGAATTTATCCAAACATAAATCACCTTAATTTCAATTCACTTTTAACCAAAATCAATTCATTCAAAATCAATTTATTTCACCGCAGAACCAAACACAATAACAACAACAACGATTTACCTTTCTTTGCTCGCACAAGCTCTTAAAAGGTAGAAGCATATGATTTGTTTGCCACTCGATTTCCCTTTTGAAAGCCATTGCGACATCATTCCGCACTTGCGAAATAGGAAGCACATCTCCCACTGAAATCGGAAAAAATGTTAGAATCAAAGAATCAAATTCAAATCAAACACGAAACAAATTTTATATCTTACTTGGTATTGGAACTCCTCTGATAAATCACTTTTGCAGAAATTTATCCAAACATAAATCAATTTACATTCAACTCACTTTTAACCAGAATCATTTCACACAAAATCAATTTTTTACTGCATAATCAATCAAACATACGCTCAAATTCAAACAAACATGAAATACATTTGATATCTTACTTGGTGTTGGAACTCCTTTGATTACAGCCCTAACATGTATAAGCTTGAAGATAAGCACTCCTTCAGCAACAAATTTATCAAGTGCCCATTGTACAACATACTTGCTTTTCTTGTTACCTTTGATTGCTAAACCAACAACTGAACATTTACCATTTTCATCTCCCTCTTGAATCCTATCCATCTCTCTTAGGGATTGTTTCAGTCAGGATTCGAACTCCGACTCCGAAGATAAGTAAAACCTAACAAATGATTGTTTCAGTCAGAATTCGAACTTGGCTCGAATTGATGATTTGGAAGCCTATGAAGAAATGAATATTAGGGATTTTGAAAAGATCTCAAAAAATCAAAATTAGTAAAACAAAATAAACAGTTAAATCAAACAAGAACAAGGGTTTCAAACTAACTAAGCAATTAAACCTAATTTGAATAACTCAATACTTCAAATCTTAGCATGTTCAAGAATCCTCATGTAAAAATGCACAAAATTCACAGAAAGAAAAATCAATAACTAGATTAAGAGATAATATAACTAACCAATGAAATGAACAAACCTTGAACTTGTTCAGTGAAGGTTCAAATCTTAGGTAGAAGAGAAAATAATCACTTTTCTCATAATCACTTCTGTCCTATCAATTTTTCACAAGTTCAAATGAAAAACATTAATAGCACTTGGTTCACCAAAAACCTCAGAAACGTTTTGTTTGTCTTATTACAAAGTTTGAATTTAAAATGATTGAATATTTATTTAGGTGATAAATATATAAAATAATATCTCTTCGTTCGATTAAATCAGTTTACCGATAATTATTAAAAATATATTAAATTGAGTTAGTTATAGCAGTTACATTAATGTAATTTTAATATTAAAATTACTTAAAAAAATGTCGGTTTCTGGTAATTTATGAGGACAACTAATAAGAAGTTAAATAATTGAAGAAAAAAAAGAAAAAAAGTGTGACTATTAATGGATATTGGAATTTAGTTGAAAGATTTGAATAGTAAGAAACAATAATGACATTAAATGTTAGTTTCAAGTTATGATGGCAGTTAACTGACATGTCATGTCGGTTCAGTCACAAGGCCAACCAAAAGATAGTGACAACTATATCTATATTCTATGGTGCATGTGAAAATGAATCACTAGAGTAAATTTTTTAACAGTCTATATATTGATAATAACCCTTCGATCTTAATCACACCGATCTAAAAAATAAGATGTGTTTATATTATAACTCAAATAAATATTAATTTTGAAATAGAATTGTCTGATTTTGATCTGACAGTTGAAAAAGTTTGACTACATGACTGTAAGAACTGTTTGCCTATAGCAAATCATATTCATTTTAAATTTGCTATAACAGTGAAAATCCCGCTTTCACTCAATCAAACGGTTTTTATTGTTTGACTTAGATCCGATGAATTTGATTTAAGTTCAATATTTTTATAATTATGAAATCCCAAAGGTTCATCATTAGAGATACTATCGAGCCTGCGATTTTTGAAGCTGTTTTTTTTCCCTTTCGACCAATTTTTTATTTTTTAAAAAACATTTTCAACTGTTGTGGCTTCGACAACCAACTTTGATTGGAGAACAACCTCTAGGATAACTTTTAGTTTATTTTCAGCCACATAGGTTGAAATTCGAGCCAACACACTCGACTCAAGCATCATTGTCCTTTGAATCAGCCATCTATTATGTCCATCGAGGATGGTCTCATATTCTCACATAAACCTGTGAGTGAGGTGCAACTTAATTAAGTAGTAGACATTTTCCTGGAGAGAAAATTAAGTTTCAACTGGGGTACATGGCGAAATGTTCGCCAATCTTATGTCAAAGTTATTCTTATCGACATGATTCACATATGTCAAAAAGTATTTTGATCAGTCTCTATGTTCTGGACAATGCAATTAGGTTTCAAGATGGTGACCCGCTGATGCATTGTCAAAGGGACTGCTCCAATCCCATGAATCCACTCACTGACAATGAGTAAGTTGTAGTTGGCCTTATGGAGACAACCACAAATAAAGTAGGTCTAGAAGTTGTCCCTACAATCAGTTCTACCTGAATGACCCCAAGGGTTCTGCCGCTCTTCCATTCATAGTTCGACAAGACTGTGTTGTAAGGCTTCAGGTCCGTGTCGTACTTGTCAATCTTTCTCAACAATGAATGTGGCATTATGTTAGTATAGTCTCCACTATCAACTAGAACCTTATATATGTCTGCATTCTCAACTTTAACTTTTATGAACAAGGCTTTAGATGTTGTTGCATCGACATATCAGGCTGTTCAAATATGACCTTGTCTTCTTCGATGGAGTCGTCTTTCATTACATAACAACACAAGGATTTATGCTTCAACAACTCTTGCGCCAACTCATTATCTTCTTCTTCAATCACTTCGATAACCATATCATACTTAATCGGTAACACTGATATCATATTACAAATTATGTCTAGCTCAAGCTCTGAACCCAAATCAAAGTTGTTAGTAGCCATGTCCTCATTTTGGTCATGCATAACCTTCGCCTCAGGTTGCAAAGGGGGAAATAACCTTTGCTTCACATTCCTTTTGCTCGACAATCCTTCATTGGTGGTTTGCACACTACCACTCTTGGTTGAGCCTTCTGCCTCTAGGGCAACTTTCTTTTCATGTTGGTGTCTTTTCCATTGTGTCTTGGTCATTGGATTCTTGCCCAGGTAATTTTTAGAAGTATAAGAATACTTCTTGGAGACTTGTGAATTATCTTCATACGATGAACCCACACCAACTTCGATTGATTGCCATTAACTTTAACCATTATCAGTTTTATTTGCAGGTTTGAACCACTCGCCTAAGGGAACATTGAATGGTGGGACGTAGGTCTTACTTTTTGGTACTCTATGAGGGGTTCCCCTCTTGACCAAGACAAAGCTTCCTTGCTTGTATTGCTTACTAGATCTCATTGGTTGTAAGTTTGAGGTCAGATTTTCCACCTCTTTGGCAACTTGATTGTCGAAGACTGAACTCTAATAGGGGCAGAGCATGACCTCAGAATCTTTGAGCTTACACCTATTCAAGAAATCTAGCAGCTCCTCTTCAGCCCTAGGATAGACCACATTTACTTTCTCGTTGTAGTCAAGCATGTTCACCTCATCAATTTTGGTGTTTAGGCCGTCAGTGACATCAACCATCAATATCTCCACATGCTCTACAAAGAGGGCCTCTTATACTTTGGGATCATATTCAACTTTATTCTCAGACTTCTATTTTACAGCAAACTCGAGTTTCCCTTCCTTCAGCACATTCTAAACCAAATCTCTGAAAATAACACATTGAGAAGTTTTATGACAAAGAAAGTTATGGAACTTTACAAAATCATTTTTTCTTTCTTTGTTCAAATGACAAAGTTTTGAGTCCTTGAGGGACTATGATCTGGCCATCAAAAACTAACAAGCCAAAATTTTGTCACACTTAGTTACATTAAATGTGTATGTTTTGTGACAAATCTCTTGTTTATGCTATGTTCAATGAGATTCTTCCCATTCGAAGCTTTCAACAATTTACAAATGTAAGGTGGCCTTGGCTTTAACTCTTCCAGATTAACTCCACTTTCTTCGACATAATCAAAATCACATATTTGGTGATTTCATTTATTTTATGGTATTTTCTTGACCTAGCCTTTTCATCCTTCAAGCGTTCGACTTGTCAAACTCTGTCTGCTAATTGGACCATGTCTCTTAAATACTAGGTGTCTAGTTTCTTTCTAATGAAATAATCTAGACCCTTTTACGGCCAATTTGACTAATTCATGTTCAAGAGCTTGAGTGAAACACCTTGCTTTAAATATCTTGGAACCTGTTAAGGTAGTCATCTATTGATTAGGCCACCTTGCGTCTCACATTAGCTAACTCTTTGAGGCTAATCTTAAATTGACCCATGTAAAATTGTTTATGAAATACCATTTCTAATTGGTTCAAACTGCATATGGAATGTGGGGGTAAGGTGGTAAACCATGTGAAAACATTTTTTTGTGAGAGAATTTGGAAAGAATTTCTTCTACAAATTCTTGTTATTGACTATTTCTCCTCCCTCTTGCTGATACCGCACCACATGTTCTACACTGGACTCGTTAGTATCTCCTAAAAACTTAGTGAATATGGAGATTTTCCAACCCCTTGGTAATTCAGTCTGCAATACATAATCAGATAGTGCAGAGACAAAATTTAGCCTATGCAGACCAACATTGAGGTCATTTTGGGGCAAAATTTGTTTGAACACATTAGTTATACTATTTTGTCCCGCAAAATTGTTCTGATGGGCATTTCTAACTAGTTGATCAACATCTTGGTTTCTATGCACCATTATTACTTCAGAGCTATTTGGGCGTGTGTTTCCTGCGACTACCTTGGGCATGGGTGGTTGGACAAGTATCACCTACTGTGGTATCTAGTTACCAGGCATCTGCTTTATAGGCACTGGAGGAGCACCAAAAAAATCACCAATTTGACCCATTTGTTATAACAATTGTTGGTAACTATAGTTAGTGTTATGAATTAAAGGATTGAACATTGTGCCTATTTGTTGTGTTAACATGTTAACCATTTCGTGATTACTCTTATCCACCTGTTGTCTTACAGCATAGGGAGAATTATTAGTTAAGGATGACATACATGAAGGAATATTTGCTAACCCTCCAACTGGTTGTGCCATTCGACCTTGGTTGTTAATAACAGACCTTAATGATAAGTATGGAATAATAGACGATGCATTAGCCATTGCAATATCTGCATACATAGATACATTAGGGTGCCTATCATCGCAGTTGGTATATAATAGGGTTGTTCCCTACCACTTAAAGGTAACATGAAACTCAAGGAAAAAGGTGGCCTTCAGTTTTCTATCATATTTTGTGTAACCCTAGGGATAGTGAGCACACTTGCTACCTGTGGTAAGGATACCACCATTTCTAGTGACACAATCGACGTCATTATTTGACTTAGAAGGGTAGGCATTTCTCCAATAGAAGTTGAAGTTCCTACATTTCCAGTCGTCGATTCAAAATGTTGTTCTTCTAAGTTCATAACATTGTTTTGGGGAGGGGGAATGTTTCTAGACGGTGGTTGTACCATTTCAAGAAGAGACTTACCACTCCTCATATGCGTACGCACTTGATAACCAATGCCATTTCATAAACGAAGAATACATTTTCGGATAAAAGAACACAATTTCTTTTATAAAATTTAAATTCTTTACACAAAAGGGTCCCACTAGGTATGCCAATTTGTTTACTGATGTTTTTAGTAAACAACCACGACACTTAAAATATTAACTCGAAAAATCTCATAGACAAATTTTGCAAAGACAAATTACGGTGAAAAGTGCACATGATTTGAATTTAAGTGTTTGGATAACGACCAATTGAATGCAGAAGATAAACTTTGAATAAAGGTAATAAACGACAAATAAAGTAAATGAAGTAAATGCCGTTTAATATAAATGCTTTGAAATACAAAAAGGATTGCAGAAAGTTTAAATGGTTGATGCATACTCACATGTCTCACATTCGCTATATGACTTGGGTACTTTGGTTCTATAGTGAACTGGTGAGAATTTGTGACCTCAACTACAACGCATAAGTTTGCATTATATACTATTATAAATTAAACCGTTGACCATAATTAAACCCTATAAATCTGACACATATCCCACTACTTAGGTCTTCGTGCTCTAACTTGCCTCCACATGTCCTCAAGGATATAATTGTTGAAAAACCAAACAAATGTGGCAATAACCTTCTTTGAAAGCGCTACATGCATCTGTTAAAGGCGGATACATCTCTAAATCACACAGTCTTAGGACTTAAGAATATCCTAATTCCTTAACACTTAAAAGTGTCGACTTCAACTTTATGCCGAAAGGTTGTTATGTGATCTTTTAAGATTCAGAATATGTTTGGAAGAGTGAGTGATCCTAATCTCGTGCATCTATTCTTGAGATTCCTTCAAACCATTCTTACTCTCGATTCCACTTACAACTTAGTCGAACCAATAGGTCAATACAACCAATATCTCAAAGCTTTTGACTTAAGTTTATAGACACTTAGTAATGTCATCGTAACTTGACCATCAATTTGTTGACTTTTCACTAAACTAAAAATCTCTGGCTAATAGTTATACATAGTAATTTATTTTTATTTGTATGTTGATAACAATAGTATTTTTATTTGTATTTTTGAACAAATTATGTATCAGGATAATGTTTGAATTTGTATTGTTGTTTAAATTTATATATGACATCCTTAAATTACATTATTATAATTAGCATGGTATTAATATATCAATTTGATCTAAAAACTATCTTCAGTGTAAATGGCTTAAAAAATATCAATATGAGACACTTGCTATCAAGGCAAAAAATATCCCAAATGTTTTTGGAAGTTATTCTAGAAATACATCTACAGAAAAATTACGGAGATCTCCGACCCATTCTTTTGACAAATTTAGGTTGGATTGTTTACTCGTAAAGTACTTGAAACTAAATTTAGGTGATTCTTAGTTATGTTGATTTGAATAAAGTTAATGAGTATAATAAACTATAATACATATTACATACAAAATCAGACCATATGATCAAATTTATCTACATTGAAAATTCAATCTCCCTAACCAAAATCTGCATCCAAAACACTTGCACATGTCCTACAGATCTACACAAAGAATCTTTAAGCCAATCTACATAAGAAAAACTAATTAACTCAATGTATGTAGAATCATATTTCTTTGGACTTCCACTCCAAAATTGCTGATAAAAGTGTGTAATTAGGAATTAAAAACTTATGAGGCAAAGCCATGTTTGTCATTGGTGATTTCTCATTCTCTTCAAGCCATTTTTCAATCGCTTTTCGGTCATACGTGTATCCGTCTGCAGCAACGCAGGGATCGTCCATCACATCCTGCACCAAATCAAATAAACCACAATGATCAATGATGTTAAAAAACAGTTGTGATTTACTACGAAAGGATTCGTAAACGAGTATTTATTTGAGTACCTGAAGTATAGGACAGATGAAATGGTTTGGAGGTTTAGGTTTAATAGTAACCATTGAAGAAGAATGATGAGCTTTATCAGCAACTTCTTTCAGCTTCTCCAGCGCGGGAAGCACATGTTCTAACAAATCTGGTCGGTCTCTACGTCGAAGCTCAGCGCAACTTAATGCTAGTCGAGCCAAGTCTAATGTCTCTTGAAATGGCCATGATCCTGCTTTTGGATCCAATATATCGGTTAAGTTACCGCCTTCTATTGCTGTTTCAACCACGTGAGTGAGCGCTGTCGCTGGTTTTGCTGTCAACAGCTGTAACATCACTAATCCGAAAGCATAAACATCGGATTTCGTAGATATTAAACCGCTCCTTTGATACTCAGGATCGATGTAGCTGAGTGTTCCGACAGGCGCCGTGTCTTTATACATCGTAGATAAATCATCTGAGTCGAGGATTGTTGAAAGACCGATATCGCCAATCTTGCTGACAAGGTTACCACCAAGCAAGATGTTTGCTGGTTTCAAGTCGCGGTGGATGATAGGTTGCGGCTTTGAGCTGTGAAGAAAGGAAAGAGCTGACGCGATTTCCCAAGCGATTCGAAACCTATCAAACCACGGGATTGCGGTGGTACTGTTTTTCTGAAATAGTCTATCCTCCAAGCTACCGTTCTCCATGTATTCGTACACAAGGCATCCGTGATCGGGACATGCACCGAGAAGAAGAAGCAAGTTTGGATGACGAATTCTGCTCAATATCTCTAACTGGAAGCAAAGAGAAGTTATTAGTCTTTTTTTTTTCAGTTCAATTCGAATTTGAAATCGTATATTCGTATAGCTTTCATACCTCCTGCTGGAATTGCTTGCTTTGGCTGATTCCGGCCGAGTGGAGAACTTTAACAGCGACAGTTGTGTGATGCAAAGTGCACTTATACACCATTCCGTACGCACCCATTCCGATTCTCAAGTCTTCAGAGAAAGACGAAGTAGCTAAAACTATTTCGTCCCACGTAAACTTTCGGTACTGAGGCGTCGAACCACTTAGAGCATCCTCTAGCTTTTCTTTCTCTTTTGCAGCACGGATAGCTTTCAATTCTGTTTCTTTTCTTTCTGAAGCTTCTCGTTCGACAGACTCTTTCAAATACGCAGCTTCTCTTGCCGCAGCTTCGTATTTCTCCATTTCTTGTCTTGCTAATTCCTTAGCCAACTCCTCCTTAGCAATAATCTCCTTCATTTTCATGGACTCTCCTGATCTCCTCTTGCTTAATTCACTTAGCTGCTCAAAGTAATAACACATTTTACATCATGTCACAATGTAAATCAATGGATTCTATTCCAAGTATAGAGAAAAATTCATCATGCAATCACTACTCCAGAGTATCATACTTATCAGGTAACAATGGTCACTTTGCCCGCACTTCTTCGTGAGGCAGGCGAAAGTTTTAGACCAGCATCCTCTAATATGTCATTGTCAGCTTTTGCAGACGCAGACATTAACATAAGTTTTTACAATTTTTACGATTTAGATGTGCAGTGCCTGCGAGCCCGGACCAATGTTTTAGGCTCGTGCCCTCAACAATGTCTGTCCGCCCCATTTTTTGCAGGCTTTTACGGGCGGGCCTAAAAGAACCTAGAAGTGTTTCTGTCCAAAAGAAAATTGACATTACCTTGCGTGATGCATCGATGTTCTCGGTTTGAGCTACCGCATGCATTCCCTGGGCATGTCTTAGTTCAATTCTCAACTTTTCCAGTTCAAGGTTAAAATTTTCCTGATAGATAACAGCAGACCACAATTAATGTTCATTCTAGTCAAGATTTTACGGAATTCTCATCAAATATATGACAGTTTATTTCAAATCGCAACCATTTACGCAAAATATGAATTGGAAACAAGTGTACCATTTCATCAAGTCCAAAGGAAGAAAGAAATTTTCAATTACCTGTCTATTAGGCGACGAAAGTCTAGAGGCTAGTGGCGAGCCCTTAACAGAATTTTGACCAGTGACCCACGATTCAGTATCTGAAGCAACGCTTCTGTAACTAGAGGCCCGGCTCAAAGCGCGACCAAAATCTGAATTTCTAGCAGAACTCGTAGCAACATTCTCTCTTCCAAGATCAATGGACTGGCCTCTAGAATGAATAATTTCATTCGAACCCGGAGTTGTGTTTAGAAGTGTCTGATTCAAACTTGAAAGAGCTTGAAATCGTTGTGTTGCCAAAGAAGAGGAATGTAAAGCAGCATACGATGCAACCGAGCCAGAATCTGTCTGAGTGGTAGAAGTGTAGTTCGATGAGCTGCTCGAGGAAAAACTGATTTCACTCGTGTCATCGGTAATGCTTTCATCAATCTGCATATCTGACGGCCGTATGGACAGATTTCCTTTCGAAACAGCATATACCGTACAATATCTCGGAGTACATGCCGAAATTTTTGCAGACATACCCTTATGTTTACTGAAAGCCCGACATAAATAAAAAATCGTATGATCAGATGAAATCCGAAAGCATTAAGCATTGAAGATGTTGAAACTTGAAATTTGGTATAAGCTCTAACAAATGCTTTGATTAGTGTTTTGATAGTACCTTTTGAATAAGCCGCCAGATGAAGCTCCGACGACTAACTTGGTTATCGCGTCCTTAGTTACTTCCTCTGCCACGGCGGATGCCACATCATCCGATTCAATTACTACAAGATCTACATGAACCTGTTCCAACAATATCAGAATAAAGATCCTATAGTGCATTATTTGCTCAAATTCATCTTTACGAAGGACGATATCTTACCTTTCTTTGCTCGCACATTTTCTTAAAAGGTAGAAGCATTTGATGTGTCTTCCACTCCATTTCCTTTTTGTAAGCAGCCGCTACATCATTACGCACTTGTGAAATTGGGAGATAATTACCCACTGGAAGTACAAAAATATTGAATCATCCATAAAATCTTCCATTGCTATAACATAACCAGCACTTATAGCCACACATGCATAAGCAAACTACTAATTGTATCGAAACTTTTTACAAAAAACATGTTCTACGGTTTTGTCATTGTTGAGATCCTAGTATTACACACACATTGTTTCACACTTCAGATGTTCAGTCCTGAACACGATAGGTCCACCGAGACTTACACATTGACTCGACATATGACCTAAGTAGTGTTTGCACGACTTATGCAGACATCCTCACGAAGTTCGGCCACTTGTGTCTGTGTCTTCAATAATCACCAGAAACTCACACACAACCGTGAGGTCTCGGCTTGGAACCTGGGTGATAGTGTGCAATCTAACAATATCGATTTTGTCAGTTGAGCTAGGATTTGCAGACATGTCGTAGTTTTCTATTATGCAATGCTTAGGGTTACAAAGTAAAAGATTTGTTTAAATACTACGAGATTACAAGTTTCCCCTTGATCCCTACCGCGGAACGAAGCCCCTACAAATGGGCCAAGGCCAAAGGGTACCGACGAAAATTAGTCATATGAAACACCAATCTCTTCAACATATAAGTTAAATTTTTTGCAGTTAATATTAAACTTAATAAACACTCATATTACTTGGTGTAGGAACCCCGGTTATACCAGCATGAACATGAATCAACTTGAAGATAATCATTCCCTCAGGCACAAACTTGTTAAGTGTCCATTGTACCACATACTTGCTTTTCTTGTTCCCTTTGATTGCTAGCGCCACAACCGAATGCCGAGTTCGGCTACTTTCGTTCCCCTCTTTAATCCTATCCATCTCTCTTCCTTAACTGGAACAAACTAAATTATCTTATCTGCAAAATTCAAAAGATACAGTTAAGAAAAAAAAACAGACACAGACACAGACACAAACACCAGACACAAAGCCAGACACAGACACACTAAGAGACACAGACATAGACAGAAACACCACAGACACAGACACCGACACCAGACACCAGACGCGCCTTTCGATTTTGCATACAACACTAATTTCTCAAAACAAGATAACCCTTGTTTTCATATACATATATTCCTTCAATTTTGAACAAGGGTTTCATCTTTCATGAACACAAATTCTTTTCTAGAAAACATCAAATCCTCATATGAATAACTACACAAAATTTACGAAAAACAGACACACACATACAGAAAAAAAAAACCAACAACAACCTTAACAGAGTTGTAAGTAAAGAAACAAACGTACCAGGTTTGAAATTATTGAGAAAAATCCTAGGTGGATAAGAAAAAAAGGTTCACATTTTTCTTGAATGAAACCATATTTTTAAAGCTTGAAATGGAAATTTCAAAACACGAGAACACATTTGGTTGTTTATTAAAGTTTGAAGAGAGAAGAAAATGAGAAGAAACAACATGAAACGTGACAAAGTGATTAATGGACCCCACAACTTCATCATGCTTTATGCTGAAATTATAATTGTCAACTACCACTTCCATTTTATATTTTTTCTATTTTAATATGTAATTTTTAAATAAATAAATAAATAAAAATAAAATAAATTGAAAAGAAGGAGTAATAAGGAGTTAAAAAATAGAACTAGTTGCATTAATGTCGAGTCAATGAAGGTATTTTATTTAGAGATAATTTTCTTTTCTATTGTTTGGTGAAAGCTTCCAATTTTGAAAACAGTTGGCTGACATCACACGTGATATTTTAACTTAGTCAAACTTGACAGCAGCAAGTTTAATAGTTCATCACAATACAATTTCTTGTTTTTCATTGGGAATTCTATTGTGGTACACTAATTGAAATGCTTGGTTGTTGTGGTCTATGTCAGAAAATGTTTTAGTTATTAGTATAATCATAGGCTTGGACCTCTTATGACATAGTTTAATAGGTGGGATATGTGTATTGATTCCATTATTTTAAAATTAATTTGTACAAAGATATTTAGAGTTCATAAGGGTTAACATGTTAATACTCTTTTAAAACGGTAGGTAGCTGGAGTCGTATTTTTGAAATGAATTGAAATTGAGATGCATACTAATATCTTTAATACTCCAAGTGTATGGTGCTTCATCATCATTCGAAGAGTTGAAGATAGCTCTCTTGATTATTCTCCTTCTTGTTGTTGTTCTTCTTCTGATTATTACTCCTGGTAGTAGCTATAGAAGAGTCAAAAGATTTGTCAACATTGACAAAGTAAGATATTCAAGGGACGTTTGAGTCTCATGAACAAAGATGGTTGAAAAAGCTGTAGGAAAATTGAAGAGTGATGTGACTTTGCAGGCGCAATCAGCAAAAGAAAAGAAACACAAAGGAAGTTGGAATGACAACAAAGACAGAAAAGGCTACAATAATTTAAATGATCAAAATCAGCAAGAAAGAAACTGACCGCATAAGAGAAAACCCTAAAACTAAGGCAACCAAAGAGGTGGTGCTACAGGTAGAGGAAGAGATGGTGATCGAAAACCTGACAAAAGTCACATTCAGTGTTACAATTGTCAGAAGTATGGTCATTATTCTAATGATTGTCCAGAAAAGAAGAAGAATCAAGAAACTGATGCAAAGGTGGAGAAACATGAAGAAGAACAAATGTTGCTGATGGTCACAACAAGAGATGAAGAAAGATTCCAAGACCAATGCTACTTGGACTCAGGATGCTCATCACACATGAATGGTAGAAAGGATTGCTTTGTAAACATAAAACTCTCAATGAAGAACATGGTGAAATTTTCAAATGACAATACTCTAGTAGTTGAAGGTATTGATGATGTTCTGATTATGAAGAAAGATGGCAAGAGGTCAGTAATTTCTAATGTATTATACATACCAGGCATAAAGAGTAATTTTCTCAGCATAGGGAAATTGGTTGAAAAGAACTACAAGGTATCGATTGAAGACAAGATGATGAGAGTTCTCGACTCAGGTGGTAGGTTAATCTTGAAGGCACAAATGTCTCAGAATAGAACCTTCAGGATTAAACTTAATGTGATGGAGCATAAGTGCCTTGCAACTGCAACCATCATAGATGAATGAATATGACATTATAGACTTGACCATCCCAAATTCAAAGACATCAGAGATTTGAAGAGAAGAAATATGGTTTCAAGATTACCAAAAAATTAACATCCCAAATGAAGTATGTGAAGAATGTGTGCAGGCAAAGCAACACAATAACAACTTCAACAAGGATGCAGGAAGTAAGTCGAAGGCAATTCTTAAAGTCATATACTCTGATGTATATGGCCATATCTAGGTGGGTTTGATTGGAGGTAACAGATACTGTGTCGCTTTCATATATGATTTCAATCGAAAATAGTGGACTTACCTGATCAAGAAGAAAAGTAAAGTGATCAAGGTATTTTCCAAATTTAAATCTATGGTCGAAAGAGAAAGTGTTTGAAAGCTAAAGAATATGTGGACTAATGGTGGTGGAAAGCATGTGTCAAAAGATTTCAATGTATTATGTGAGAAAGAAGGGATTGTGCATGAGGTGGTGCCACTCTACACTCCACAACATAATGGAACTACAGAAAGGAAGAATAGAACCATCATGAATATGGTGAGAAGTATGTTGAAAGACAAGCATCTACCCAACAAATAATAGGGAGAAATTATGTCGATTGCAACATAGATCTTGAATAGATGTCCGACGAAGAAGCTAGAAGGATTTATGCCAGAAGAATGTTGGCCTGATGTCAAGCCTAGCCTAAGTCATTTGAAGGAGTTTGGATCTATAGTACATAGACATGTGCCAGATCAGTTAAGAAGAAAACTTTATGATAAATCGAGTCAAATAATCTTGATAGAATATCATTCGACTAAAGGATATAAGTTGTTCGACCTAGTGAAAAAGATAGTAGTGATCAACAGAGACGTGATCATAGATGATATTAAGGAATGTGATTGGACTGAGAATGTTAAGAAGGATTCAGTGAGAATCTTATATGAAGAACCAGCTAGTGAAGTTGAAAGAGAAGTTCGAGAAAAGGAAGTTAGAGGTGAAGCAAGACCAAGCAGACCTCAACGAACAAGACACACGCATGTAAGGTCGCAAGAATGTGTGATTACATCAGATGACGTTGTCAATGAAGAAGGTGAGCTGGTACAATATACTATCTACGCAGATGTCGAAACAGTCAATGCAGCTGAGAAATTGAAAGATTCAAAGTTGAAGAAAACAATGAATGAGAACTAGAGTCCTTCGAAGTCAACAACACTTAGTCACTTGTCGAATTACCTTAAGGCAAGAAGGCAATCGATATGAAGTGGGTATACAAGGTGAAGCTGAATCCTAAAGGAGAAGTAACTCGACATAAAGAGAGACTTGTGGCAAAATGATTTCTTCAGAAAGAAGGAATCGACTTCGACGAAGCTTTTGTACCTGTTGATAGGATCGAAACAATCAGGATGATTATTGTTATAGCTAACATGAACAATTGGCACATATGCTAGATGGATGTGAAATGTGAATTCTTGAATAACCCCTTAGATGAAGAAGTTTATGTTGCACAACCAACTGAGTTTGTGAAACAAGGCAAACAAAGAAAGGTGTACAAGCTGCATAAATCCCTGTATGGACTTAAGCAAGCTCGAAGAGCTTGGAATAAAAAGATAGATAACTTCTAAGGGAGAAGGAATTTGTGAAGTGCATGACTGAGCATGAAGTATATGGTAAGAAGAAGTAAAAGTGAATTGCTTATATTATGTCTCTATGTCGATAACCTGTTAATAACAAGAAGTTGCAAGAAGGAGATCGAAGATTTCAAACATGACCTAAGTGAGGAGTTTGAAATGTTAGACTTGGAAAATCTCTCATACTTCCCTGGCATCAAATTCTACAATAGTGGTAAAGGTTTGATGATGCATCAAAGAAGATATGCAAGCGAAATACTCAAGAGATTTGAGATGCAAGATTGCAACCCAACATTGACTCCAGTTGAGCCCCGATTACAACTGTCAAAAGAATCAGATGAAGATGATGTCAATCCAACTCAGTATATAAGAATTATTGGGTCACTAAGATACCTTTGTCATACAAGGCCTGATCTAGCATATAGTGTAGGTATGATAAGTAAATTCGTGCAGAAGGCAAATGTATCACACCTAACAACGACAAAAGGATACTAAGGTATCTGAAAGGAACTCTCGACTATGACATTTTATTTCCTGCAAATGATGAAGGAAAAGAATACAAGTTAGTGGGATACACCGACTTAAGTTGGTGTAGTGATGTTGAGGATAGAAAATCCACAGCTGGCTATGTGTTTATGCTAGGTGGTACACCAGTTGTGTGGAGTTCAAGAAAGGAGCCAGTAGTGACATTGTCGTCGTGCAAAGTGTAACATCCTAATTTTTCCATACACTAAATAATATATCTAGTTAGATTTGAGATTTTAACAATGCTAGTTATTAAAAATTAAATGTTGAAACTAACACTTATAATAATTAATTTATTAATTAATTACTTTTTATATTTATTACTTTTATTCTTCAATTTGAATATCATCGTTTCATTTTATAAACTAAACTTTGAAATTTAAATTGGTACTTAAAACCCTTAACTTTAAGTTAATTAATTATTCATATTATTATTATCATTATTGTTGTTCTTGTTTTGTTATTATTAATTGATTTTATTTTATTTGAATATTATCATTTTACTCTATAAACCAATTAATAAATAAAATAATCTTAAGACAATAAAAATATCAAATAACTATCCTTTTTACTATTTTTATTATTATTAATATTATTAACATTTTACTTTTTATAAAAGAAATATATATCTCATTTTCTATTAATATCCTACA